TATAATGTTATGTAGATAAGAGCAGGTTACAGAATTGTGTATTAAGAGAATGAAATTTGGAAAATACTAATTTTGGTCATTTTTGTAATTGTGGAATTGTTTTTCCCCCTTAATATGCATTCCCCCAATTTTCTGTACTGAGCGTATTTTTTTAATAATGAAAAAGTAGCAAGCCAAAATCAATGTCTTGATCTTAAAAAAGAGTTTAGGTAAGATGCTATAGCCAGGCACTCTCAAGGGATTTAGTGGCATTAGTTAATAGGGATAGAGAATTTGTTCATAAACAAAGAATAGGAGTAGGAATAGAGACTCCAAATTAATAGACTGTTTAAGGGATCAATACTAAACCTATTTTCAGATTACAGTTTTGTAAATGACCTGGAGGGAGAAATAGACTGTGATCCTCCAAATCTGCAGCCTTTTTAGTTATGAAATGCCAATGGAGTTGGTATTAATTATATGAAAATTTTGAGAGACTTGTATACAAAGTGGATGGAAAAGTAGCAATGATTTCCAGTTGGTCAATATGAGTTGGTTGGTACGCACTAACGACTGCTCGTTTGGATAGTTAGTTGCACCTATGATTTGTATTCTGAACTACAGAATTTAGTCAGAAATACAAATAAGTTCTTATAATGTTTAAATAAATCAGTGGGTAATAAGGAAGTCAAGACATTTGCATTTGGCCTAACACTTTGTATCAAGGAGAACAATAGTGTTCTTCACAGCAAGGTTTTTTGTTTGTTTGGTTTAATGCAGTATTGCTCTGGATGGGTTTTGGGTCATATTCAGTGTGACAATTCTTGTGTTCTTGTGTTCCCAAGGGCATATTATTTTCTTTGTAGGGAGTCTTGTCATAGATACATAAGAACAAACAGCATCCCTTGAGATGTATTTAAAATAAGGCACTTAGTTTTATAAATAGCATAGCAATAAATTCCAAGTATGTAGTCACAGTATGGCATCAATAATGAGAGAAAGGATTTATGGAGAACTGAAATGTTATTTTTTTAGATTAAATGAGATTATTATAGTTGGTAAGCCTTCTCAGAAACACTGTTCATTGCAGTGAAATGTGGTTCCCAAAAGCTGGTCTTCAACAAAATTTTTCACTGTTCTGCTTTGAAATAAATGTCAGAACATTGTGATGAGTGTGGTTTCATAGTACTGCTATATTTCTTCAATTTTAAAATGTACATTTCCCCACATTTGAACATTTCTGAAATTGAGATGTGTTTTTACAATCAGTGGCATCTTAAAATCGTTGTCAGTTGTGAAATAGTTGTAACTGCCTTTATATACTTGAACTCAATAATTAATCCTGCTAGTATAGTTAGACAGTAGCAACCCATTGATGTTTCAGTTAACATACCATTTAAGGACCATTTATGGAAGAGGTGACCATGCCTGGGTTGTCTTCTGAAACCTGTAAGTTGCATCTTCTGGTGATATCTTTTCATAAGATCAGGAAAGGTATGGCATCAAGACTTGGGCATTACGTGTCAGTTGCTTGGAGAGACCCAAGGCGATAGAATTAAGGTACAATGAAGGTATCACTTAAAGAAGATAATTAAAACAGTTGTAGCAGTTGGTTATTCTTTACCTTACCTATATGAAATAGTTTGACCAACACTGGAAGGCTTCTCCAACCAAAAATGTCTTTCCTACTGGGTTGTCCTGGTGTCTGAAATTTTCATCTTTTAGCCATTCATTGGATTTAGGGTGTTGACAGTTTTAAGTGCCATGATATCAGGTATCACTCTTTTGTATTGCTATAACTCCAGCATCCCTCCCATTTCCTGGCAAATAAGTAGCTGTCCCATAAATATTTATTCAGTTAACAAATGAAAGGAAATTAAAACATGATTGGTCATAGTTAACCTTATGATGTCACAGCTTATAAAATAACTAGTAGAAAATGAAGCTGTATGGTAATTGAAACACAGCTCAGATAAAATTCTAGGAAAGGTAAGTGATAGAACTAGAATGGAGAATGATTTTCAGACTTTTTGAAGAGTATTCTTTCCCCTTTTTAATGAACCCACTTCATGTCAGAAAGTACAGAATATTGTGCAGGACCGGAGTTGTTCTTTATAACATGTTGATTGATAAAATACATGATTAAAAAAGGTGAAGGAAATTTCACCAGTTCTTTTAAATGAATATGAATTTCTTAGTCTGTAATTGATCATATGTTTTTCTAGACAGTTATTTTATCTCTAGGTAAAGTTCAGTATGCATATAAATTTGTGGAGTCCTTGGGGTCTCAGGCCCTTTTTTGCTTGGCAGCCGTTGATCTGGACTTGATACTTGAGTGTGGTTTGTAGGCCAGCAAACATTGCTGTCACCTGGGGAGCATATTAGAAATGCGGGATCTCAGGCCCTGCTCCAGACCTCCAGAATCATAACTAGCATCTACTAAGAAAGAAAACAACTTTATTTTTGAATAAGCATTAAGTTAGAATATGATGCATGCCACCTGCAATAAGCATAAATTATAAATAGTGTTCAAGTAAGAGGACTTAATAGCAACATTTGTCACACACAGTTCATCCTGAATTCCCTTGGTAATTGAGGTGATCATATGTATTAGTTAATTGGTTTATCCAAAGGAAAAATAAACATATTTTTATGACAGGCGGCAGTTTTGCAACTTACGGCTGGCCCTCTGAAGTTAGGCTCCTAACCTCCCACAGAAACTGGCATGAAGGAGTGCTGTCTCCCTTGTTGATCCACATTTCAGAGATGGCTGTAGGTCTTTGAGAAAGGTGGTCCCGGGTTACTGGTTAGAGGCTTTTTTTTTTTAGCTTTTAAAAAGATATACATACATTTCAAAGAGAAAGAATTTACAATTACAAATTTTGTAAAGAAAATGCTAAGAAAAGTGTGTGTAGGATGTCTCCTCTCTTATTGTTTATAGGGAGAATTAAATCTCTTATTTTTATTTGCCCTTAAACTGATGAGTAACTTGATCCAGCTGCTTCAGTAGGCAGTTTATCAGTGTTCTAGTAAAATTGAAGATGTGCGTAATCTATGATCCAGCACTTTTACTTTTAGATAGATTCCAGAGAAGCTCTTTAACACATGTTCATGAGAGACTTGAAGCATTGTATAATAACAGTGAAGCATTGGAAACAACCATAATGTCTGTAAACCAGAGAATGAGTGGATAAATTTGGGTATACTCATACATTACAGTACTATACAGCATTGATAATGAGTAAATTAGAGCTACATCTATCAATATGAATTTTTAAAAATAATGTGACTAAAACAAGTTGCAGAAGAACATGTATAGTATATTTATATAACATGTAAAAACATACAGAATAAAATAATTTTATCTGTGATTATATATATTAGTAAATGTACAATGCAGCAATGAGCACCAGAATCAGAAAGTGGTTACCTTGGTTACCTTAGGTGGGAGGTACATAATCAGGAAGGGATTCAACTGTATCTTTAATAATTTATTTCTTAATAAAGGAAAATCTTAAGTAAATAAGAATGTTAAGATAATTTATTTGAGCAGTCAATCCATGGGCGTTTGCTATATTATTATCTAGATTCTTTTGTAATGTTTAAATATTTTATGATTAAAAGTTTTAAAAGAGAGAGAGCCAGAGAAAAGGGGGCCAGAGAAATGGGTGATAGCTGGGGGGATATCAGTTTGCTAGTATTGCATATTTGCAGGCTAATGGTAATGATCTACTAAAAAGGGCCAAGTTAGTGCAGGAGACTGGGACAGTTGTAAGACCAGAGTCCTTTAGTAAGAAAAACAAAGTGGGATCCAGTACAGAATCAATTTGTTTGGCTTTTGATAGGAGCAACGACAATTTGTTGAAACAGGAGGGAAAGCAGAATAAGTGGTAGGAAGGGGAAGTAGTTCTCTTCTGAATTTATGGTGACTAACGTTCAGGTTTGCCTGGAACTGAGGTTTTCCAGGATGCAGGACTTTCAGTGCTAAAACTGGGAATGTCCTGAGCAAACCAGGATGGTTGGCCATTCTACTTCTGCTTGTTTTTCCTTGACGAACTGAAAAACATGATCTTCTCCTAGGGTAGGAAGGGGATATGGTTTAAGGTAAAAGGACAAGCTATATGAAGTAGTTCTCTGTCTTAAAGATAGGGGACCAAATTCACTAGGTTGCTGTGGTATGATTTTTGAGCTTTGTTTATTAAGGGTCCACTGAAATTTTATGGGTATAATTTCAAAGTTCATATGGCTATGTTTCTTTACAGTCTCATTCAGCTGTTTAGGTGGAGGTGCTATATTAAGTGGAAGGTTGGTTTTAACAATGATTGGACTGTGACTGAGGAAGAGGAGCAATGGAGGGAGGCCATAGACAAGGGAATGATTATAGTGATAGACTGTTGCATCTTAGGATGGGGATAAGAAGTGAAGAAGAGAGGATTAAGGACAGTTGGAAAAATGACTCCAACAAATTTCTAGAAGTGAACTGGAATGATAGGAAGTGAAGATGGTGGGATGCTTGAAATTGAGATTTTTAAGGTGGCGTCATTACTCATTATTGATTTGATGATGGGAATAGGGGGCTGGAATGAATGGAAGAAAAGGTCATTGGCGTGTGAATGATCACTCCATGGATGTGATTTTAATGATTAAGGCAGATTTTGGTGCTCTAAATAATATTCACTCAGTTATTTTCTTTTCATATGCTAATAGTTTACTGTTTCTTATTTTGTTTAATCATTGCCTCAAATTGTAGATTGTATCGTTCTCAAATGAAGACAGTTGTAAATATATAAGTAAATGGACAAAAGGAGATTTTGTTTAATCATTACTTGTCCTTATCATATGGCATGCTAGTAGAAACTTTGTAGTTGGTTAAGTTTTAAACATTAACATCCAAAATGATGGTCCACTGCCCATTAAGCTATTTTGGTCACAAATACTTTCAACGAGGACTTCATGGCATGTATGGTTAACTGTACTACATTGCTTTGCCAACTCCAGTTTTCCTCCTTCTCTTTTTATAGGACCGCAGCTGAATGCACAGCTTGAAGGTTGGCTTTCACAAGTACAATCTACAAAAAGACCTGCTAGAGCCATTATTGCACCGTAAGTTTTAAGGGTCTTTACACATGATCTTTTGTATGTTAATTATTAATAAAGAATGAATATGTATAGATTGAGCTAAAAATTAAAAATCACATGCTTTGTTGAACTGAAGAAATCATATTCATTAAATGTCATTCCTGTGGTCTTCACTTTAACTCAGGGATAAAGGAATTGGCCACTTCGTTTTTTCAGATGTAGTAATTTCAAAATTTATTTTTGGTAATAAAACTGATTTTTAAAGCAGAGAGCTATTTATGTTAGGTAAGCTTTGTGATTTCAGTGGTATTTGGTACAAGTGAATAAGTTCTATTTTGAATATTAAAAATATATACTTTAATCACATAATTTTTAACTTATAATGAAAAAGATGCGTTAAGCATAATATGGTGCAAAATGGAGTAGCAACCAGATTTTGGGGGGAGGGGTAGTTTTTTTTTATGAAGAAAATCTGTCTATTTTGTCTTTCTGTACAGAAGGCTTTTTTAAACTGCAAGCTAGCAAACATACAGTTAATTATGTTTCTGTATATGATATGAATTCAGTTAATTTTGACCTGGTAAATGTTGGAGTTTGTGCTATTTCTCTCACAGCAACATATTTTATGTGACTTCTGTTGAGTTAAAATTGGTACTCTGATAAATAGTAAACAGTGAATATAATAATAGCAACCACTTATTAAACAATATGAGAATTAAATGAGTAAATGTAAAGAGCTTGCATTAATGTTTGGCACATGGTAAGTATTCCCTAAATGTTAGGTATTTCATATGCCAAACATTTTGTTAAATATTCTCTATGATCTAACTTGATCTCATGTAATAGACACAGGATGCTGACCAAAGTACTTAAAAACTATGTGACATACAAGTTATTTAATCTCTTGTGCCTTTGTCTCATTGATAAAATTGGAATAATAATAGTACCTCCATATAGTTTTTTTGATGATTAAATGAGCTGATCTGTATAAAACTTTTAGCATAATGACTTGCTGTTTATTTAGTCATTCAGCAAACATCTTCCAGTTTAAATGCCAGATACTCTTCTTTGTGCTGCTTTTTGAGTAAATCAAAATTGCTGCTCTCATAGTACATTTTACTCTCATGGTTGCATTTCAGTACTTGGGAAAGACAGACCATAAACAAATAATTCTATTCTGTGTCAAGTGCTGATGGGTGCTAAGAAAAATAAAGCAGATAAAGAGAACTGAGAGTTACAGGATGGGTTGGGAGTTGGTAGTTTGTGTAGGATAGTAAGAAAGGTCTCCATGATAAGGTAACATTTGAGCCTAAATGATGAGAGAAGTTATGCAGATACCCAGGGAAAGAGGGTTTCAGGCTGAGGAACAACAAGGACAAAGGCCCTGGGGCAGGGTATGCTCAGTGTGTCTGAGGAAAAGTAAGGAGGCCAGTGTAGCTGGGGTGCCTGTGTGGGGAAGAGTAGTGGATGAGATAGGCAGCAGGGGCTAGATCACACAGAGGCTTTATAGGAGATCAGACAAACTTTGTTTTTTATTCCAAGGGATATGATTAGTGAGAAGTTTTGAGCAGAAAAGTGACACAATCTAACTTAGGTTTGACAAGGATTACTCTTGCTGTATGGACTTTCTGTTTTGTGGGAGCAAGGAGTCCAATTTGGAGGCTTATTATAGTAGTAAAGAAAAGAGAGTGACATAATGGCTTTGACTGGGGGCTAGTGGTAGAGGTGATAAGAAGCAGTGTACTGGATATATTTCGAAGGTAGGACTGATAAAATGGAAGAAGAGTCCAGGATGACTTTTTTAAGTTTTAGCTTATGGAAGTGTAAGGATGAAATTGCTTTTATACTAGTTAAAGGAAAAAGCATGATTGGAGGTGGGGCGTGGATTTGAAGTGTGTATATAGAACCTAAGGTTTTATTTTGTTAATGTTGAGATGCCTATTAGGTATCTAAGTGGGGATTTCTAATGGGTGTCTAGATATATGAATCTGGAGTACAGGGATGAAGGGCCAGGCTCTTTTGGTGTATCACACTTACACAGGTAAGTGTGTAACTTATCACACATGAAGTCTAAAAAGACTGGTTGCCTAGGGAGTAAAATAGAGAAGAAATTCAGAAACTAAGTGCTTAGGAAAGCCAACTTTGTTTAGAGGTCAGGGTGAAGATGAGTATTTGTAAAAGAGATTCTGAAGAAAGACCAGTGAGGAAGGATGAAAACCAAGAATGAGTGATGTCTCTGGGAGGCAAAAGCATGAAAACATGTCAGGTAGGAGAAAATGATCATCACTTGTGTTAGAACCTGTCAATAGGTCAAATCAGTTGAGGACTGATAACTGGATACTGTGGAGATTACTGGTTATTTTAATAAGAACAATTTCTGTGGAGTGATGGCGATGAAAGCATAACTGGAGTGGGTTCAAGAAAGAATCAAGGAAGGAAATGAAGACATAGTTTTTTTTAGGAACTTTGATATAAATCAAGGAAATAGGTCAATGGGAATATGGATTCAGGTGAGAATTTTTATTTGGGGTGGGAGATACTGAAGTGTTTATAATGTTGATGACATGATTCAGTAGAGAAAGAAAAACTGATGCAGGGATAAGATAGAAAGTTTGTATAAGTGAGATCGATTGGGGGAGAAACAATGGAGTAATAATCATCTCTTTATAGTATGTCATGAGGTAATTCTATTGTCATTCCCATTACTTTGCTAGTATTTGACTATTATGGAGTACTACCTTGCTAGTTAAAACTTGTTCTAAATGTGGGAGCTGAGCTGAATCAACATATAATTAAATTGAAGTTAGTTATTCATAACAAAGTAGCTAGCCTTGTTTCCTTCTTGTAGTTAGTTTTAAACTGAAATCATTGGAAATGGCCTGGGGAATGAAATGTTTAAGCCTAAGTTATAGATATATTGATTTGTAAAATATTTCCAGTTACCTTAGGTTTTAAAATGATTTTTGAAAATAATTTGGCTTTGATATGCATGTTTCTGCTGTTTAGTGACTTTGTAGTTATTTTTATGCATATATAGGCAATTTCTACTTTGATAATATATGATAACTTTAAGTATAGTCAAGTTCATCTTTTTATATGGTTTCCAGAGATAAGTATTTTCTTTTCCAGAGTTACTTTTTTTTTTTGAGGTAGAAGAGCAACAGCAAATATTTTATTGTTATGTAAGCGCAGAAGGGTCTTTGTAAGGACATACTTACATAAACCTTAAAATTTTAAGACTTCTATTTATATTTCAAATAAAAAATATACTTTAAGTTTTATAAATTCTAGCTCATTGGGACCACCTTTTCTTAGATTCTGCCTTCACAGGAATAAAGCATATTAGGGAAACTTAAAAAAAAATTAGAACCTAGATAGCATACTTTTGAAAATGCTTAAACAGATTGCTCTTTTTTTTTTAATACTGATGTAGATTAAATAGAGTAATTTCATTAAAGAATAAATATTGACCCATAAACCAACTGTTTGATCAATCTTAATTCTAAACAGTCACATTTGGGGGAGGGATTGAAAAGAATTGAACTTGACTAAAACATATCCTTTGGTTGAATTTAGAATTACCTTACTTTCCTTGAGGCACAGGAGATAGTATGTGGCCCAGGGATATAAACTGAAATGATCTTATGAGCTAGGAGTTCCAAAAGCCTTCCTACCATGATTGCCAGACACCTTGATGCCAAAATTATTGTTTACCTTGCAGTATTCAGGAATTTCTCAGCAAACCTTAGAATGGAGCTGTACAGGTGTGCATCACTTAAGAAACCTCTTATTAAATATAAAATATAAACAGTTAATTGTGGAGGGGGCTTAATTTACATGACAAAGTTGTTTTTGTTTTTGTTTTTGTTTTTGTTTTTGTTTTTGTTTTTGTTTTTGTTTTAATGAAGGTACTAGGGATTAAACCCAGGACCTTGTGCAGGCTAAGTATGCGCTCTGTCACTGAGCTATATGTACTCCCAAAGTTACTTTTTTATTATAAAGCACAGACTATGAATACTGAAGCAACCCCCTCCCCCCCCATTCATACATTTGAAATAGAGTCTAATTTGTTAGTGGTTAATCTCGTAGACATAGTATGGAATAAGGATACTTTCACTTTTTATTGTGTATCCTTTTTTATTGTTTGACTTTTTTACTGTGTGCATGTGTTACTTTTAATACAAAAACTAGTTAAAAAAATTTAAAAGCTAAGAAACATTTATATAGAAAGTCAGTTTGTATATAGTGAAGCATTCCTGCAGAGCTCTACCAGTGCATATCACAAGACAATGAATCTTCATAAATTATGTAGTTAATTTAAGTTACTGGAGATGTGCTACTTATTTCTCATCCTTGTCTATATTAAACAGTAGGTTATTCACGGCAATATCTCAAATCCTGTATATTCTAGCAGTAAAAAAAAAACTTGATATGCAACAGTGTGGTTAGTTTATTCTTACTTAACTTTTGTTTTTCACTAAACGTTCTTTATTGAGCACTGTTGAAACTTGTGGATTATGATTTAACTATAATTTTATAGAAGGCAAAATCAAAGTACTTAATGGCTCACTTTCTACTACTTTTATTTTTCATTTTATTAACTCAATATTTAGAATTTAAAATGTATGATTCTGAAGTTGGAAATCATTGAATAAAATTTAGCAATTTATAAATGCAGTTATTTTCTTTTATTTGACTTTTTAGCTCATAATATTGTTGACTTTATTTGTGAGATTCCATTTTGTAAAAATAAACCTGGACTTTTTGATATAATCATCTGCTAATATTTTTTATTGAAGTAGGAATCTTGAGGGGGCATCGAACAGTATCGTTGAAAGAAAAGTTTAAAAGGGTAGGTGCAGCAAAATAAAATTGACAGAGTCTATATGGAGATTGCTGCTTCTGCAAACAGTAGGGGGCAGTTGTCATTCAGGTTGGTCCTGTATATTCACAGTTGTTTTTAAAGTTAGTTTCTAGCTTTGTAGATCGAATCAACTTTAGGTTACAAACTTTTCTTATTATTG